GTGTGGAGGACACGGTGATATGTTGGGGTGATGGGGACACGGTGATATGTTGGGGTGATGGGGGCACGGTGATATGTTGGGGTGATGGGGACACGGTGATATAATGAATGTATCTTGTATGTTTTGGCAGTGGGATTCCATCAATGAGATGGACGAGTTCTTCACCCCAATACACACCTACCAAGTGTGCAACGTCATGACCCCGAACCAGAACAACTGGCTGCGGACAAACTGGGTCCAAAGAGACGGCGCCCGGCGCGTGTACGCCGAGATCAAGTTCACTCTGCGAGACTGCAACAGCATGCCGGGGGTGCTGGGCACGTGTAAGGAGACGTTTAACCTCTACTACATGGAGAGTGACCGGGACATGGGGACCAGCACACGCGAGGGCCAGTTCCTGAAGATTGACACCATCGCCGCTGACGAGAGCTTCACCAGTGTGGACCTCGGTGTTCGGAGGCTGAAGCTCAATACGGAGGTTCGAGGGGTTGGCCCTTTAAGCAGGCGGGGCTTTTATTTGGCATTCCAGGATATGGGGGCGTGTATCGCCGTGGTGTCAGTGCGCGTCTACTACAAGAAGTGCCCCTCCATGGTGAGGAACCTGGCGGCCTTCTCAGAGGCTGTGACTGGGGCCGATTCATCCTCCTTGGTAGAGGTCCGGGGACAATGTGTGGGCCATTCAGAGGAGAGAGACACCCCAAAAATGTACTGCAGTGCTGAAGGGGCGTGGCTTGTACCCATCGGGAAGTGCGTGTGTAACGCAGGATTTGAGGAACGCAGTGACTCCTGCGTAGGTAAGACTGAAAATTCCTTCCTGTCCACGTAACTCCTCCCCCCCGAACGCTCTCAACCCCTTAACACGGAGGAACCCCTTTATGTCATCTTCCAGGAACCCCTTTATGTCATCTTCCAGGAACCCCTTTATGTCATCTTCCAGGAACCCCTTTATGTCATCTTCCAGGGAACCCCTTTATGTCATCTTCCAGGGAACCCCTTTATGTCTTCTTCCTGGAACCCTTTTATGTCATCTTCCAGGAACCCCTTTATGTCATCTTCCAGGAACCCCTTTATGTCTTCTTCCAGGAACCCCTTTATGTGTTCTTCCAGGGAACCTCTTTATGTCATCTTCCAGGCAACCCCTTTATGTCATCTTCCAGGAACCCCTTTATGTCATCTTCCAGGGACCCCTTTATGTCTTCTTCCAGGGAACCCCTTTATATCATCTTCCAGGGACCCCTTTATGTCTTCTTCCAGGAACCCTTTTATGTCATCTTCCAGGAACC